GCAATAATAATATAATAAAGGCTCCTATTTATTGCCTTAGATGAAACTGCTTCCTAAGCCAATATTACTGCTTAACAAGGCCCATTTAAAAGAAATTAAATCATTTGTTTTTATAAATATGATAGATGGAATAAGGATAGAATTAAACATTTTTTAAATTTATAACTCCCCCTGAAAATATTTTTATTTTAAAATAAATATTTAAACTCAAAAATCCATAATTTTTTTTTCTTTTCGCAAATTTAATTACTATTTTCTTGATATATGGTCCAGCACTCGTATAAAAAGTATGAATCAATTTTTGGATCATTCTTAGTTGTTATTACTTTTAAATCATATTTTCAAAATTATATTAGTTTAATTTAAGATCCATGTCAAGATATTATATTATAATTCCACCATGGGATTGGGGGTTGGAAGCGAGATCGTCATTGAAATCTAATTGGGTAAATAGTTATTTCCTTATCGTTATTGAAATGAAGAGGGGTTGGAACTAGTTTAAAATCTGATTTTATTTTGCTGATTTTAATTTGGTAAGGATGAGGGTAAAAATATTCAGGGTGATTAAAACTATTTCCTTAATGGGAAGTCCATTTAAAACCCTTCTCCCCGCCCGACCATCCTAGTTTTTTAACAATGAACCAACCGACGTAGGCTAGGGGGCTTAGTTAAAAATCTCCCCATAACAGACCTTTACTGTTTATAAATTAGAAAATATCAGTCGTGCCATCTATAAACAAAATCTTCAGGCTTGCCTGATATTTTTCTAGATGAAATATTTAGTTAGCCATTTTTGAAAAATAGGCCCACCTCGAGCCGTTTAGCAACATTAATTTAATACAAAAAAAATATCAAATAACAATAAGCGCTATCTATCGAATTAAATATTGTACAATTTTATTTTCTTATTTTAATTGTTTTTTGATTTAATTTTCTAATATGTTTATATAAACCATCCATTATTAGAGTATATCAAATATTATCAGTACTTTTGCTTTATTAATAGATTTATCGAGTTATTAATATTTTTGTGATTGTTATAAATAAGATATATTATATATATTATTAATGTTATAAATGTCATATACAAATCAATCAATATATATATATACACCAATTCACCAACTATTGCTGTTGTGACCGCTTATTACTCGATCAGCAAAATGAAAATAACTAAAAATGGAGACAAAATTTTATTTTCTAATTTTTTTTTACAATTTTATAATCAAAAAAAAATATCAATTAATTTTTACAATATTTCGCTTCCCTTTTATAGGTAAGCGCATAAATACAATTTCATAATGATCCTGCAAAATTTAATTATTATTTAAAAATAGAATATCAACAAAAATTAAAATACAATTTCACAATGATCTTGCCAAATTTAATTCCTATATCTAAAAATAAAATAAAGCAAAATATTAAAATTATTATTATACACGCGAATACGTATTTTCAAAAATTATCAAATACGTCTTGTCACCTCATTCATGACAGTCATATGATAGAATACTTGATTAATATTATTCGTTTCATTTGATATATTCAATTCACCACTAGTAATTGGTTTAGTGATATGCTTAATTTTTTATTTTCATTATAAGTTAATTTTACCAAATTTTTAAATTTAAATTTCACACAATTCAATTATTTCGCAGAAAAATAGCTTTTATGACTTTGTTGTTGCATTCACTAGAAGATATGTAAATGTCATTTCACAATTTTTTTTATTAAAATTTTCAGAAATAAAAACAAATTGTGAACAAAAGAAAAAGAGGGAAAAATAACAATCACGTTGAACTAAAACTTAAAGAGCATGTACATCTGTTTCACTTCTTTTATATGTAAAGCTTTGTAAACCGGTCTAAACCTTTTGATATCCTAACAGTTTTAAATATTGTTATCTCATATTTGATTGGTCGATAAACGATAGGCAGCCATTTTATAATTATTTATATGGTTATTAAATTAGGTATATTTTGTATATGCTCAATAATAATATAATTAAGTGCTCCTATTTATTGCCTTAGATAAGAAACTGGCTCGCGCGGAATTGCTCAGATTAAAAAATAAATAGCTCAGATTAATATATCAAACGCTTAGAAATTAGTCACTTAATTTAATTATTATTTTCTAGATATATGGTCCAGCATTCATATAAAAAAGATGAATAAATTTTTGGATCATTCTTAGTGGTTATTACTTATATTTTAAAAATTAATTTTAGATCCATATATCAACATATTATATTATAATTCCCACAGGAATGGGTGTGGGGGATGAATGACGTAAGATCGTCATTGAAATCCAAGTAGGTCGATAGTTATTGCCATATCGTTAATGAATTTAAGAGGGGATGGAGACCAGTTTAAAATAGGATTTTTTTACTGAGAAGTAAGGTATTTTTCTAAATGTCCTCCCCCCCCCCAACCATCCAATTTTTTTAACCCGCCCAATGTTTAAAATTTTTAACAATGGACGGACCAATGTGGGCGGACGGGCGTAGTAAAAACCCACCCATTACAGACCTCTATACTATTCATAAATAGTAGAGAATATATCATTCAAAATTGTAAATTCAAAAGATTTAAATATTTTATAAATGATCATATCCATCAATAAAAGATATATACTTCAGCATCATCACTATTAAATTGTATATACTTATTACATTTGTAGGAAAAGCACATTTGGTAAAGAAAATAATATTCAAAAATAATAGTCCATATCAGATTTTTTTTGGAATCAGCTAAATTCTGGTGTCTATAGAGGACTAACATAGCTCATTTTTATAGATAAATATTTTAAAATAAATATCACAAATATTGCAATAAATATTTTTTTAAAAATATCTGTCCAATATATTTTCATTAGAGTTATGCTATTTTATTTTAAAAAAATAATTATTCGAATAAAACAGTAAATTTTTTATATTCGTTTGAATCGTAAATTATTTGATTCGTTAAAATTATTTGAATATAAATAATGCACTATCTATTTCTTTCATATTCCTTCTTTGAATTGGCATTCGTCAAATAGGCTTCTTTCTGATCAGACTTTCCCAAATTTAGTCGTAAAAGTTAAATTATAATATTAAACACGTTTAATATTTTATAAAATAATTGGTTTGTTCTTTTTTTCATCTCTAATTTATTTTAATGCCTCATTCAATGCATTCCTTCATATAAAACTTTGTAAACAGTCATATTGCATCAAATCATACTTGGGAAAAGGGCTCACACATTTCTGTAAGATGTGACTAGCCTAAAATATTTATGAAATACAAAAATCCACTATTATAGCAATGCATTTTTTATTAACACACGTGATAAAATACTTACCGGACATGGCATTGAGTACAAACTAAAATATGTTAAAAGTTTCGCTTCAGGGATTGAAATAAAAGTGGTGTAAAGTTTGATAGTATTTCATAAGAAAATCTTTGCAAGTGTATTCTTTGACATTTCTATCTGTTATAAAATATTAATTTTTTTTGTTTGGATGTCAATCAAATTATCAGTAGTGGGTCAGAATAAGTAGGACTCGGCACATTTTTAAAATATTTTTCGTATCAGTTTAATAACCACCAAGCCAAACAACAAAGGGAAAAAGAAAATGATTATTGCAACTTTCTCTTGTTGCCTAAAATAAATTAAAACTTAGTTAAAATATGTAGTTGGTATTTTAAAAAAATTCTATTAAAAATAAATGAAAAACATACATTATATTTGTATTTATATATGTTAAATAAAACGCCGAAATCCTAAGGGACGAAATTTTTTTCCTCCGTTTTTGCAAAACTTTTTAAAACTATTTAAAAATAATGCCTCATGGACATCATTGATCCGACGACAAGATTTGGTTAAACTTTTGTAATTTAGAATAATTCGGAAACCGCCCTTGATAATATTTTAAACCACTCCAACCCAGTTAATCATACAATTTCGCGTATTCTTTAATTATATGAAAAAATCTATAAGATAAAAATTGTTTTAAAATTTCAGGGCCAAATTTTATGAAATTTAGTTTTACTTCCAAACTCCTCTTAGCTTGAATACCTCTTTTTTTATGAGGCGTTTTAGCCATTTTTCAGCCAGCAATATTGGCAACAGCAAAAAAAATGTTTAACGAGACCTGATAAATTGTTTTTTTTAGCCTGAGCCTAACCGAAGTCAGATGAAAAATTTAGATCATATGAAATTAGGAATATATCTCCCTCTAACTCAAAATATTTATTTTATTCCTTTATTTGCATTATATTTAAACTTCCAAAAATTATATTGATAATATAATAATGATTATCAATACAATTCTGTGGACGTGTTGACTCTTTCCTATGCAGATTTAGCTTCTATTCCTATAATTTTTTTCTAATATCATCTAATTATTTGATATATAAAAAATTACTTCAAAATCCATGGGAAAATAATTATGAACATATTTAAAAGGTATTTGAGAATAATATATAATATACGTTGCAATTGTGAATCAATATACAAAAATATACGATTCGACGATAAAAAGATGGACACATGGGAAAATTAGTGAATATAGAGAAAGTTTTATAAAGGAATATTTCTAATTTATTGAAAATAAATCTGAAAAGTGATATATTAAGGTTTGTAAATTGTTGAAATAAAATATAAATATGTCATGTCATATTTGAAATATAAATTGTTCAATTTAAGCTATATTTTATTAGTATCTAAAAATTTATGAATATTTTTAATAATAATTTGTATTTTTTATTCAACACTGTCTTGATTTCTCTTGGGAACATACATTGTTGTGATTGTAAAACCGTTTTTAGATATTTTATAAATCTAAATAAAAAATTTATATCTTAATTTCTATAATAATGATCTGCACATTAAAATTAAAATATCAGATAAGTAAAAATTTTTGTCATAATAATAAAATAAACCGGATATAAATAAATTATATTAAAATTTTAATAAAATATAGAATTATAAATGAATTATTTCTTATTAATTTTATAGGTTCTCCTGCTGAGAAGAATAATCTAGAAATAGGTGATGAAGTGCTTGAGATAAATGGCAGATCATTGGAAAACTATTCTCACGATGAAGCAATCGCTTATATACACAAAGTATTTAAAATAAATTTTAAATATTATTAAAAAATTTTAGATTTTTAAACTAAGTTTATTATTTATTTAAAAGATTTGGAAATTATATTACAATTCAAGTTATTAATTAAGATTATTGTTTTCCTAGAGGGATAAAATATACCACCTGTATACATTTACAATTCTTACCTGCTAAGGTATTTAAATTCATCTTAATTATTTTACATTTTTATATAAATTGTTATTTAAAATTACTTTAAACGCATGTTTTTAATAACATAATGTGTAATAAATTCTGTTTATCTCTGTAGTATAATTTAAAAATTTACAATAATTGTTGAATACTTTAATTAATATTTATTAAAATTCTTATATTTTTGATATTATATTAATTTCTTAATTTAAATTAGATTTGATATAATAGCAAAATGAAATATATTATCATAAATTTTAATACCATAAAATATTATAAAAAATCATTTTTCTTAAAAAACTGTATAATCCTATTTTATCTACCAACCTTTGCATAATAGTAATATTTTGAAAGAAATCATAAATATAAATACATCCAAATTTGTAAAAATCTGTGAAACCAGGGCAATTGCAATATTTACTATTAATTAAATTAAATAGCAGATCTAAGATTAAATACTAGGTTTATTTAAGAAGTATAATATAAGTTAGTAAAATTCATTAGTATAAATTGCTGTATTTATAATGTAGAAACTGATACTACCCTTGATATACCATAACATTTCTTCTTAATTTTATGGAGAATTGGAAATACAATTGTTAATTATAATTCATAAGCAAATATTAATTTTTAGATAGTAAATACATTTTCAAATAGGACGAGTGTCTTAGAGCCACTATTGTTAACATAATTTACTTTCTTCTGGGTAACAATAAAAAAATGAGGAAGGGCCTTCTGCATTTTTTACCTGAGCTTCCAATGGGGTGGAGTGGTAGACTAATTTGAAGTGAAAGAAATATGAAATTATAAATTATATTTATAAAAAGACTTCTGCTCATAATATGTATATTATAATTTTTAAAAAAATTGAATATACCATTTTCAAAATGTAAACTATTCAGTTGCATATTTCTCCAAAAATTTTTAAACTATATTTTAACTTTTAAATTGGATTTTAATTAATATATGAGATATTATGCCCTAACCCCCCTTATCTCCTCTATCCACTCCCAAAAATCTATTAGATTAATCCATGGTCAATATTCAAAAAGCCTTTCTATTAGTTTTTATCGACAAGAAGTATTTTGTAAATTGAATATAATAATTTAATTCCGATATAGTCAAGGATATAATTTAAAAGGAGTTTGAAAAATATTCTTTAAAAAATTTTGATCAAATTTTACCTAAAATTGCCAAAAATCTTTTTTTTTAAAATAATCATTTATAAGTAAATATTTTGTAATTTTTTTGCATTAAAAATCTTTCAAGTTGAATTTCAAAAAATTAAAAAAAAATTTTGCCCATAATTATTTTGAAGATTTTTTCACAATCTGATTTAAAATAAATCTTGTATTAGGTGCCTGAGGAAATCAAATTTTATGATAAAAATATGCTTAAATTTTTTATTATATTTATATCCCTCAGATAACTTGCTAAGGTATAAAAAAAATTGATACAGAAAGTATTTTTTTTGTTAAAAGCAAATATCTCCTATTCATTAATTGGAAGATGAGTAGGCTGCTTGATTTTAAAAGATCTACTATCCATATTGCCTACTCTTATTTATTCAAATAGAGTATCTAGCTAAACCCCAGGGATGCTTATAAAAATTTTTTATAGCTCTCTTATGATTTGAAATTAATAAAAAATTGCAAAATTGTTTCAAAGTATAAAAATTTTTATTGACCTATACTTTAGATTAGAAGATAAGATATGTAACTAAAAGCAATATTTTTAACAAAATAATATTACAATTTTTCTTTACAAAACCGGGAGTCAATTTTGATTGGCCAAAAATTATTTCCTATAATATATTACAAGTGCGAAATATTTTGAATTTTATACCCGTTGATTGGTTATTTTTTTTATAAAAATCGACCGGATCTTATTATCTTATATCCGGTAGTTATTTCTAGTTTTGATTTTAATAAATCTGTTTATTCTGAGACTCGCGGGCATGATATTTGATCTATAAATGCATTTCAGCTTCCCAAAGAATGCCGTCAAACTTTTACACATTTTGACTGACGTATCTCTTTAATAATTACTCAATACATATTTTCGCTCATCATTCCTCGCGACAACATTGACCGTGGCAAATACAAAACGTTATAAATGTTTTCTGTTTTTTTTTAAATAAAAACATTCGACATGCCACCCCCTAACAAACGTTGTCACTCATTGCCATTTTTTTTCAGAGCCAATTAATTATAAGTTTTTAAGAATTTGGTTGATGTAACATTTCAATATAAAAAGTTCAGTTTTTTTTCGCTAGTTATAAAAACGATACTTTTTTTTTAACAAATAATAAATAAATAATGAATGAATGAATCAGATGCTGATAACACACCAAAAAAAAGATTATATGAATTACGATATTTTATCATTTTTTTTATTATCCCCAACTTTGGCTTCGAGGTGTAAATTAAATTATCTTAAGAATTTATATATTTTTTTTTATTAGACAATTATTTAACATTCTAGTTTATAAAATATTTTCACTTTAATTTCTTCACCTTTTTAAATATATATATTTTTTGTACCTATTTTTTTTGTTGTAAGATAGTTGTTTTTTTTTATCAATGGAATGGGATAATAAAAATCAAATATCATATTTTTTTTAAAGAGGCAGGCATTTATATATATTTTGTCATTTTTTGTTCTATTTTAAATGATAAAATTATGATATATACCCTTAAAAAATTCAAATTTATTAAATAATTATTTTTTTAAGCCTTTGAAATCTCATTACTTTTGGATGTCACATTAAAAAATAATGATGGAAAATAATATATATTTTTACAACCGCCCGATTTGGGCCTATTGTAGTGTTGTTAAACGGCTCGATTTAAGCCGATTTTTAAAAAAGGCTAACTCAATATTTTAGCCAGAAAAATATTGTATAAGTCTCGAGATTTCGTTAACAGATGTTCATACCTTTCTGCCACATATGAGCAAAATTTTAAGGCTTGCATAATATTTTTCCTAATAAAATATTGAATTCGCCGTTTTAAAAAATCGGCTCAAAATGAGCCGTTGTCGATTGTTAAAGGGGATTGAGGAAGATTTTAACCAAAATAATATTAAGTAAGCCTAGAGATTTGGCATATAGAGGTCGAAACCCTTCTGCTATCTATGATCGAAATCTCCAGTTTTACATGGTATTATTTTAATTAAGATCTTAATCCGACGGTTTTTTAAAAATCGACCCAAATCGGGCCGTTTAACAACACTAGGTTTATATAAATCAAAAAAATTTCCACCCAGATTCTATAATACTTAATTAATGAGTTTTAACATGTCCTAAATAAAGGAAGTTAATTTTGAAAAATAAGTGCTATAGTTACAATTCACATTCTTAAAAAGGAACTTGTTACAATTACTAATTTACAGTTATATTTTTTATAAAAGTAACTCGTTACATTTTTAAAAGTAACTGTTTATAAAACAAGTTACTTGATAAATTGTTTTTGTATGTACATACAATCTTAATAAGGAAATATTGCACTGAAAAAAAATATAATATTTATTTATACTGGATCATCATTATTTATTACTTTTAATGGCAGTTTCTTTAAGTTAATCCGGGTAAACAAGTCTGATCCCCTTCTCCATTTTTTTTACTGCTCTAGGCAACGCTTTTGCCACGCATTTTTAGCTAACCCCTGACGTTTATCTCATTACGATTTTTGTGCTTTGCTTCCTTGTATATCTCTATCATCAACCTCTTTGCCATTACACCATCTTTTGTATTACCTCCTTTTCTTGTCCAGTACCTTAGCTACCTCCAAATTTCACATGTTAGAAAGAAAGAAATAAGGGAGGAAAAGTTTGACGTTAATTGAACCATTTATTTATTATTATTGAATTTATAAGACAATCCACTAAGTCTAATTTAATCATTTTTTTTTAAAAAAAAGAAGTATTATTGATAAGAATGGAATGTTTAATATTTTTTAAATGTTGTTTATGCTAATGACGATTGTTTTAATTTAAAAACTTATTTCGATAATATTTTGACTAAACAAATATTTTTCTCTCTCTCCTAAATTTGAGAAATAAAAGTTATAAAATATATTAATTAATGAATTAATCAATTAATTACCTGTAAACATTGTTTTTTTATACCTCCATGATGTCTAATCTATTTAAATTTCTTTTGTTTTTTTTTGTTTTATGTTAATCGATAGGACTGGCGGAACGCATAACTTTAAAAATGTTGTTTGTTAATGACTTATTTGTGCCAATTAGTGTTGTTAAACGGCTAACTCAATATTTTAGCCAGAAAAATATTGTCTCTAAGCCTCGTGATTTCGTTAATAGATGTTCAACAAACCTTTGTGCCGCCTATGAGTAAAATCTTAAGGCTTGCATAATAATTTTTCCTAAATAAAATATTGAGTTAGCAACCGTTTATTAACAACACTAAATGCCAATTATTCTAATTTATAGGCGTGTATTTTTATTTTTATATATAAGTTATTATAAAAAAATAAATTATAATTTATTCCTTACAAAAAATAATAATTTTTGACAGTATCCATATTCATTAAAAACTATAACATAATTTTTTTTTTGTCTCTTTTAAAAACTATCGTAAATTTTGAAAATCATTTTTAATCTTTACTAATTAACCTGTAAGCGTTATTGCTGTTTTATTTTTAAAAACTCATTTTGTGTATCCTAATATAGTTTAATTCTTGTAAAATTTTATTTATATTTTTGTAAGAAAAAAAAACTATTTGTTTAATTATCCTATTAATTATTCATGTTATTTTTTATTTTAATTTTTAATAATTAATTCAGATCATTGGATTTCACTTCACAA